TACGCGAAGACATCTGGGTGTATGCTGAGTTATTTACTGGCGATGAAAATGTAGATTTATATTTTGTTTGTATTTTAGGTTTAAGTGGTTTGATAAGAGAAGCCCTACAAACAAAAACCCCAAAAGAGCTGCTGCAGCAGCTGCAGCAGTATGGTGGTATGCATGCAGCAGGCTCACTCGATCCCCGTCCTTCTCTGCTGCAGTTGCCTGGTTCTGCTGCTGCTGCTGCTGTTGCTCTAGGTATTACATCTGCTGCTCCTCCTGCTGCTGCTGCTGCTGCTGCTGCTGCTATTGATGCGGGAGGAGATACTGTTGCTGCTGCTGCTGCTGCTGCTGCTGCTGCACCTGGATACGTTCTATTGCCTATACCTGTCTCTCCCCCTCCTGCTCTTTTTTATGATTGTACACACGACAACGAACCAGCAGCAACGAAGTTTTGTGCTGCAGCAACAATTACTTTTGCTGCTGCTGCTGCTGCTGTTGCTGCTGCATGCGGCAGCACAAGAGGGGTAGATGAACTCGTACCCAGAACCCTTTCTGTCGTCACCGAGCGGAGGTTATATAAAGACTATCACCCTGAGGCCCCTCTCTCTCCCCCCGCAGCAGCAGCAGCAGCAGCAGCAGCAGCAGGGGGAGAAAGAGAGAAAGAGAAAGAGGATAGTGTTGTTGTTATGTGGATAGAAAAAGCAAATAATGTAAAAATAAAAGGAGAATGGGATAACTGGAAAGAAGAGATAGAGATGCAGAAAGAAGGAGATATATTCAGGTGTATACTGAGCTCAGATAAACACTTTATAAATAAAAATATAAATAAAAATAAAAATAAATATAATAAATATATACAAATTAAATTTATTGTTGATGGAGAGTGGAAACACTGTCCATACACCCCAACCATCGCTGATGAAAACGGAAATCTAAATAATATCATTTCTCTACCTGGAACACAAACCCCAGGTAAACCCTAAACCCTCAAAAACCCTAAACCCTCAAAAACCCTAAACCCTAAACCCTAGGTGATAGAAACCATATAAACCCCTAAAACCCTAACTTTTAATAATATTTTTTTCTCTATTTTCCTCTTGTGCAGCGAGGGTTTCTTTGTATTTTCTTTTTCTAGGGTTTAGGGTTTAGGGTTTAGGGTTTAGGGTTTAGGGTTTATGTGTTTAGGTAGCATGCCGGGTTTGCTTGGTGTTCGTCCTATATTAAATAAACTACACGAGAGACTAGCTCGAGAAGGGTTTACGCATTTCTCTGTTTATATAAAAGGAGAAGATATACTTATAATAAAAAGAATAAACCCTCAAACCCTCAATTGTTGTTATACACTCATTAGGTGCGCATACACCCCAAACCACCAAGCCACCACACAAACCGTAAGCAAAAACCCTAAACCCTCAAAACCCTAAACCCTAATTAACCCTAAACCCTAGAAACCCTAAACCCTAGAAACCATAAACCCTAAACCCTTTCTGCGTTCTACCCGGGACCTCCTTTGCCTCTATCTATATCGATTTCCAGGGTTTAGGGTTTAGGGTTTAGGGTTTAGGGTTTGTGTGTGTAGGTGGAGCTGAGTGGGTGTATAAAGGAGGTGGTATTGTTGGCTCGTTTGTGTATACCTTTTGAGGGTTTAGGGTTTTATAAAGAAGAAAAAGAGAAGATAAATGGTGTTAGTGGTTTTGGTTGTATATATGAGGATCTATCTACCTTTGCGGGGTGTACATACACCCCAAATGAGGGTTTGTCTACACTCTCTCTGCATGCATTCCCCCCTGGCTCTGTTGCTGTTTTTATAACGAAACCAGAAGATACGTTGCTGCTGCAGCAGCTGCAGCAGCAGCTGCGAGATACCATCTGCAGCAGCCCGCTGCTGCTGTCTGCTGCAGCAACACAAGACCTTAATCATTTATTTTATTGTTGCAGCAGAGAAGAAATAGACAAAACAAAAGGAGACAGAAATGTATATAATATACCCGGAGGAGGAGATACAGTGTATGCGGGGCTGGCGGGTGCATGCATAGTATTGGATGCAGCACGACAGCAGCAGCAGCAGCAGCAGCAGCAGCAGCAGCAGCAGCAGGAGAATCAGCCCCCAATCAATAAAAACCTCACCGAGGGTTTGTGGCTGCTGCAGTATACAATAGATAGACTCAACGATACCCCCACGCTGCTGCTGCTGCAGCAGCAGCTGCAGCACACATGTAAGCTGCTGCAGCAGCTCAAAGGATACAACTGGATTCGGCCCTACATAGTTGATCGTCTCCTTTCTGGGGTGTATGCACAGCTCGGTGCTTTGCTGCTGTCTCGCCTACCTGCTGCAGCAGCACTCTTCCCCTTTAAACCACCAGCAGCAGCAGCAGCAGCAGCAGCAGCAGCAGCAGCAGGAGCAGCAGCAGGAGCAGCAGCAGCAGCAGCNCAGCAGCAGCAGCAGCAGCAGCAGCAGCAGCAGCAGGAGCAGCAGCAGGAGCAGCAGCAGCAGCAGCATCAGCAGCAGCAGGAG